CCCCCTCAAAAAAAAAAAAAAAAAAAAAAAAAAAAAAAAAAAAAAAAAACCTAAACCACAAGCAGCACCCACCCCCTCTCCCCCACAAGGGCTGTAGTGCGAGGGGAGAAGAGGAGGGCAGCTTCACCAAGGCCATGGCTTGCTCACTCCTGGCCAAGGGAACAGGGTGAAGGGCAGGGGCACCCCAACAGATTGAGGGGGTGGGGGAAACCAAAATAAAACATCAAATAAATTGTGTAGGGGTCCAGCCAAGGGCCAGGCCAGCGCTGGGCCAGGCTGGGGGAGGGGGCCTCTGCAGGCTTGAGGATCACTGCTGCCACCACCGCCACCCTGGGTACAAAAAAAGAAACCAGGTAAGACAGGATAATACCTTCGACAGGAAAAAGGGTGAGGACCATGCTGGGACCAGAAAGTCTGGACCAATTTAGACTAAAGCAACTGTACGTGAAGGGCCTTGGGGGGAGTTTGTCACACTCACCTGGGAGCCCGTTATTTTGCCATGGCCTTGATTGCAACAGCTGCCTCCTCTGTCATGGCAGAAAGCACTGTAATCTTCAGGGAACAAGAGGGAGGGGGAAAAGTCTGAGCTCAGGGACCAAACACAAGGAGCAAACCTGGGCACAAAAGAAAGAGGATGGGGCACCATACCAGGATCTCCTCTCCACAGTCATACTTTTGCTCAATCTCCTTGCCAAGGTCTCCCTCAGGCAAGCGAAGGTCCTCTCGCACCTCCCCGCTGTCCTGGAGCAGTGATAGATACCCATCCTGGATGCCAATCAGCTGGGGGCAGATAGGGAAGGAAGGTGAAGGTTGATGATAAAGGGTCTAACATACTAAATACCCTCCTGCCATTCCCCTTCTCTCTCCCAGCACAAATTCTTATCAATCAATATTGCCCCCCCACCCCACTACTAACCCACCTACACCAAGACCATGTACATACCTGGAAATCATTCCTTTTGATGTTGGGAACATCCATATTATGAGTTGACGGGCAGATATCTTCGTATTTCTTCCCAGTAAAGATGTCAATACCAACCAGATGGACCTGTATGTATGCATCACATCAAAGAGAAACACAACCAAACTCTAGGATGGAGGAGATAAATAAATGTTCAGGTTGTCCCTGGCGGGTGAGGGATGTCAGACTAGATTGTTTGGGCAAAGATTAGGGGAGTTGGGAATGTACCACAAAGTCAAGACACTAAAGCCTCTAAAAAAGAACCTGAGATGAAAAGACCACCATTGAGACTGGGTTGATAAAACCAGGGAAAATGGAGGCCAGTTTTGTAGTAGTCAGTTACCTCAAGCTATCAAATCACTGACATAAAATGCTAAGAACTTGGGAAATAAGGTAGAAGGGAAAGAGCTGAGAAAACAGGAAGGCCTGAGACAGGAGAAGAGCTGAAAAGGAAAAATGACTTGGGGGAGATCAGAAAGAACTAAGCAATTAGGAAATTAAAAACACACAAAATAGAATCTAGGACATTAGGGGGTAACCCAGGATGAATGCCAAGTCAACCGAAGATAGAAAAACTGATTAAGGAACAAAACCACAAGAACTACAACAAGGAGAAACCAGGTTGAACTTTTGAGGAAAACGTAAAAAGTCTAAAGTGTCAAGGAAAACACTAGGCAAGACTGTTAGGACCCCAAAATGCAAAGAGGCTCTAGAACTCAAGGAGAGGGGGCAGCTAGGTGATCTGGAGTTCAGAGCTACGCTGATCCCTTCAGGAAAGGCTGCAATCCACATTAGGATCGGAGAAACCCTGCACAAAGTGATGGAAATAAAGAGTGCCTAGAAAGATTCAAGGGAAGAGACAAACAGGAAAAGCAAAAGCCATGAATAAGGATGAAGCAGCTGAATAGCCAGAGCACAAAGGACAACCAAGAGAAGTTAGAGACTCACACCAAGATGGCAGGAGGGGGTTACCAGAGAATGACAGTGGAAGAAGCTCAAGGCTGGGAGCAAGTGTAGTAGGAAAGGTATCCAGGGCTGAGTGTTGAAATCAAGGAATTGGATGGTAGGTAAGAAGAGAGTTAAAGATAAAGGGCTAGGACTGATGACAGCTTGCTGCCAGGAGTCCCATGGACATGGGAAGTGTGAGGAAGGTAAGATGTGAAGAGGTGAAATTCTAACCTTGGCATGGCCGTGCTTGCCAGTCTTGGAGGTGGACATCTCCACAATCTTACATGGCCGTCCTTTGAGCACCACAAAGCCGTTCTTACGTAATGCTGAGCACTGCATTGGGAAGGTGGCTGAGGCCCCTGCATCTCCTGTCTCGAAGTCCAAATCATCTGCCATTTTAAGAGGCTTCGATTCCAACTAGTCAAGAAAAAAAAAAAAAGGGTCAGTAAGGATGGAAGCTAACAATGTCTCCAATTTATCCCACTCCTCTCTGGAAACATTGCTTCATTTTCTTTCCAGTTGTTTATTCCATTACCCACCTAAAATAAAATAAAAATTCCCAGATTAAATACTGATTGGAACCACAAATATTTGAGAACTGATGCGTGTATGATGAGGGAATAAGGCGGATCCTTAACACAAGTGAAAGTTAAAGGGGGCTTGGGAAAGGAAGTCTTGGAGCCAAATCTCTGAGATGGTACAAGGACTAGTCCCTAGGAGGGGGAGAGTTCAGGTGTTACTTGCCACTGAAACCAACTACCCCTTTAGCCCACACATAACCAGGGCTATAATTAGGTGAGCAGCTATGAGGCAGCAAAAGGGCGGGGCTAATGTGGAGGGGAGAAGGGAGGGTGGATACTGGAGGACAGGGCCCCACCCGTCTGTTACACCCCCCACCCCACCCTATCCACACACAAGTCAGTCACTGGTACAGGAAACCACAAGGGCTCTTTGGGGGATTCCCACCTCTCCAACATGCATTTGCAGATGAAGCCAAGGGGGAGAAAGTAAAGTTGTTTTCTAACTGATCCCCCTGCCAAACACCTCGATCAAAGGGAACCCAGGAACCCAGCGTCTCCTCGAGGGCCCTCCCACTTTTCCCAAGATGCTTCGGTCCTGTCGGCTTTTCAGACCGGGCATGTAAGTCAGTAGAAAGTGGGGGAGTAGTGAATGACAATAAAAGGAAAGCAGAAGACTGGTAGTAGTGAGTAGTGTAACTTATACTAGAATTAAGACTCTAAAACCCGAACTCCCAAAACATACACATCGAGTAAGACAATGACAAGGTTTAGAGCACCTCTAACAGTGGGGAACTCATCTGTCCCGGACCTAAAGGCGCTGTCAGCACCACTGAGTTGGGCTGTGGTCCAATTGCCCTCATTTTCCCCATTTCTCTGGCCTCCCTGCAAGGAACGGTGCCACTCACAACCTGGCTGGCCCCCTCATTTCACCTGAGATTTGGGGGGAAAGCTCCAGGAGCCCATGAGCTGGGAGAGCGCTAACATATGCCCGCAGTGGGCTCTCTCCGGTGATCAAGGTCCAGGCCTCCGGCTTCTCCCACTCCTCAAATTTCCAAGCTCCTTTAGGCACCCGCGAGGACCTGCTCTCCCCGCGCTGAGGGTTGCCGGCTCCCGCCCAACATGTGGCCGCCCTGGGCTTCCGGTGGCCGGGACCTGGGGGGAGGGGACCCCGCGCTGCCATGCGGACCCAGTCCACATTCGGCCATGCGGCCTCCGACCCCGAGGGCAGCCTCCCGTGCGGGGCACTTCC